AGCCAAGAGGCAGAGGTCAGAAGCTAATGAAGTGAAGCTTGAGGGCCCCTCACTTGCCTGGTGACCATATGTATCTGTAAAATTTGCAAATATACGATATTTAACCACAATTGGCTAAGACCCCTGTCTCTTTCCTCTCTGGACTTCCTCTAATGTCAGGTCTTGTTTTGTGTTTTATGCTCTTTTCCTTAAAGAGAATAAATTATACAAGCTTCAGAACTCACAAAACCTGGATCTGCCCCTGTCTTATACAGATCGTTATAACAACTATGGCATTAGACTAGAGATTTGTTTCTGAGCAGTGTGTAAAAAGCATCAGGTATTTTATTGGGAATTAATTAACTAGTTCTTAAAACCTCAGGAAAAGAAAGGCCAGCTTTTCTTTCAGGACTCACCTTAACACCACTGCGTTAAGCCTCCTCAGAGTCCCTAACACTTGATTTTCATTACTTGTTTAATAACTATAAGCTTTGTAAGTACAGGAATCATGTCTTTTCTATTTACCAGTGTGTCTCCAGCACTTATTACGATGCCTGGCACATAGTAAGCACCCAATAAATGTTGCCAAATTAGTAAATTAATTTATGAAGACTTATTGTACTTATATTAAGTATCCCTCATCTCTTTCCATGAAAAATTTGAGACTTAGTGCTCACTCTGGGCCAGGCACTAAAAGTTACAAACTCATTTAGAAGACCGTTAAAATTGTTTTACCAGTTGATTTGAATGCACAGTGTGCAACGTGTTTGCTGCTGTGGTCAACACTGCCCGAGCAGTGGAAATGAAGCTGAAATTCATTTACAGAGGACAACCATGCTGAGATTGTGCGAGACCCTTCCCTTCTTGCAGTGCTCTACGCCTGTTTAAAAGAAACTGAACGAGCCAGAGATCAGACTTTAAAGGCCTGTCTTCACCCTTTTCCTCCCCTAGTTGGGGACAGGTAGATTCTCCATTGGACCGCCTTGACAAATGAATAAAATGGCCCTATTCTGAGGTCAAACCTTCTCTCCCTCTCTGCATCATGACTGGAGAGCAGAACACGAACCTCTTAAGGCAGTGCCCACCCCTCAGCTGTCTGTCTTGCTTGGGCACATCCCACGGCTCAGGAGTCGCCGGGCCTCCCCGCAGGCACGCCACAGTGCCAGCCACCGCAGCATGCTCTCTACTGGAGGCAGCAGCGGCAGCAAAAGCAGCAGCTGCAGAGGAGTCTCTTGACAGGAAGAGAAGGATGACAGAGACTGGGAAGGAGAGACACAGAAAATGTCGACAAGTCTAACGAAAGAGTAGCAGAGCAGCAGAAAGGGAAAATTAAGAAGAAAGAGTAAAGTGGGAATTACATAATCTAATGACATAATCTCATAAAACTGAGATTTCCAAAAGGAAATGGAAGTAGTGGAAAGGGCAAGATCTTTGAGGCAAAGAGATTCGGTGCTCATAGCAGGATTACTGCCAGGGAAAAACAGACATTTAGGTAGAGAGCAGGCAGGCCCTTGCTCCGTGAGTGGCTGTTAGTGATTGCTTTACTAACACCCACTACGACCGGGTGCCACTGGTCCACCATCCTCGTCCTGAGTTGCAGAGCAGCACAGGTGGTGGTGGGCATGGGGAGGGCTGCCCCCGGCTTGCCATGACAGGTTTTCACAGTTGCTTTCCTCAAGCTCTGTGGGCGGCTTGCATTCCCGGCTGTTCTCTGGATGATGAGGACAGTTATTAGTCTGACCTGGTCCTTTACTTTTTTTCCCACTCACGGCTTGAGCTTTCACTAGTTTTCATTTCTTATTAAGAGAAAAATCACAGAGCGAGAATTAAACACCTTCTGATTTATTGTCTTACTGAAGATAGAAAGTTGAGAGTCACGGGGCTGGAACTGAATGAAGGCCCCACCCAGGGGAAGGCCACCGTGGGATCGTGTCTGCATGCAGGGGCTGCTGTGCTTTCCTTCCCCTGGAGGACCACAGGCAGCAATCCAGAGCCCAGAAATACTCTGGTCTCTACATTTAGGACTCAGTGTTGTAAAATCAGGCACTTTCCCCAAGCAGAGATAATAGGCCTCAAAGGACAGTGGGTTTTCCTCTTTTCAAGCTTTGGGGTTAGATTTGCACTAACCTCCCAAACTTGTTCCCAGAGCTCAATTATGTGTCTACCCTAATAGACACTGTATTAGTCCATTTCTGTTGCTCATAATAGAAATACCTGAAGCTGAATAATTTATAAAGAAACAATACTTATTGCTTACAGTTTTGGAGTCTGGGAAGTCCAAAGTCCAGGGAACGCACCAGTTGAGATGACTCTGGAGCAGTGCAGGGTGTCACAGGGCGAGAATTGGTGGAGCAGAGAGTGCTGAGAGCATCTCACATGCTCTCCCTTTACAGCCCTCAGAATCGCAGCCACGGCCACTGTGAACCCATCAACGGATTGATCCGTTTACTACGAATCACCTCTTCAAGGCCTATAATGGGGTTTCCCACCTTCCTAACACTGTCACAGTGGAGACCAACCTCAGTGAGTTGGGGGGACACCAGTCCACAGCAGACACTGTTCCTCAGGCATAGAGACTGCATCCAACTCATCTGTTAATCCCTGACTGTATGGCAGGCACGCGGCTGGTGCTCAGTAAATGAATGGAGTGGCGAAGGAACGCGTGCACGCTGAGATGGGCTGACTGCTCTTAATTTGTATGGCTGTGTGCCTTTTATAATAATACCCTCCCTTACAACAAAAAAGGAAATATATAGCAGCTCCTCAAAAAAATTAAACATATGAGGGTGCTTCAAAAAGTTTGTTGGGGGGCCGGCCCGGTGGCGCACTGGATAGTGCGCCGCTTGGGAGTGTGGCGGCACTCCCGCCGAGGGTTCGGATCCCACATACAGACCGGTTCCTGCTCACTGGCTGAGCGAGGCACGGGAGCAACACCGAGGGTTGCGATCCCATTGCCAGTCCCGGTCCGGTACGGGGGCAACACTGAGGGTTGTGATCCATTGCTGGACACGGAAAAAGACAAAAAAAAAAAAAGTTTGTTGGAAAAAATAGAATTGAAAGATAATACAAATCTTTCCTTAAACTTTTTGAAGTATCTTCATAGAATTGCCATATGGTCCGGCACTTTCAATCAGGTATACACCCCAACGAATTGAAAGCAGGGATTTGGACAGATACTCATACACCAATGTTCATAGCAGCACTATTCACAATAACCAACAGGTGGGAACAATCTAAATGTACATCAGTGGATGAATGGATAAACAAAATGGTATAACCATGCAATGGAATATTATTCATCCTTAAAAAGGGAGGAAATTCTGACACATGCTATAACACATGGACGAACCTTGAGGACATAGTGCTAAGTGAAATAAGGCCACCACAGAAGGACAAATACTGTATGAGTCCACCTACATGAGGTGCCTAGAATAGTTAAATTCATAGAAACAGAGAGTAGAGAGGTGGTTACTAGAGGCTATCAGCCATTGAAGAATGGCCACAGAGTTTCAGTTTGGGAAGATGGAAAAGTTCTGGAGACAGATGTTGGTGATAGTTACACAACAATGTGAACGTACTTAATGTGTTAACACTCCTGAATCCTCCAAGAGAACAGCAACACTGTCTGCGCAGCTTGCAACTAGTTGTATGTGACAAAGAGGCAGTCACTGCGTAGTCAGACAGTTTCAGGGTAACATGGGCCAGCACGCCCCTCGTGGCTACGTACCGCTGTTTTTCCCATGAGGATCTGTAAGAACACATACTGGCTCTGTCATAAAATGCACCTGCCCCCCAGGCTTCCACAGCTGGGAGTCAGAGGAAAATCGTCCTATGGAAAGGGGAAATTGAGGTAGTTTCCCCAACTCTCATTTACCAAGTTACACCATCTGCCTGAGGATTACTCACTTATACTGGCAGGTCAACCTCCTAGGAATGAAAAAGCAGTAAACCTATCTGGGCACACTCTTCCTAGACTCCAGCCTAGAGGAGCAGTGTCCCCAGAGAGCCAGAGCTCAGCACTGCACACAGATAGACTGGTTGGAATTGCAGTTCTCCACTCTGTGTAGTTGTGTAGCTTTGGGCAAGTCACTTCAGTGAACCTTAGTTTTCTCATCTATAAAATGGGACTATTAGGGCTGACCCCATGGCGCGCTCAGGAGAGTGCAGCACTGGGAGCGCAGTGGTGCTCCCGCCGCGGGTTCGGATCCTATATAGGAATGGCCAGTGCGCTCACTGGCTGAGCGCGGTGTGGGCGACACCACACCAAGGGTTGCAATCCCCTTACCAGTCACGAAAAAGACAAAAAAAAAAAATGGGACTATTACAGTGCCTACCTCACCAGTCGTACTAAGGCTCAGATGAGCTAGTAAGAATTTAATGGTGCCTAGAATACAGTAAGTATTTGTTAAGTACAATTTCCATATCAGAGATATATTACGAGTGGTAATGGGTTGGGAGAAGACAGTCATGCATATCATTACAAGAGTTGAAATACATCAACTCGACCGTCTGAACCCACTGGCCAGACAATCTGGAGGAGCCTCAGGAGGCAGAAGAAACACCAGGAGGACGTTAAACGGGGCTCTCCAGAGAGATGGGCAGTTCTTGAAAAATCTTCTCCCTGTTCCTCTGATCCTTCAAGTCATTCCAAAATATTCTGGTTAGTTTGTCTCCAGACAATATATAGATAGAGAGATATAGATAGGTAGATATCTTTTTCTCACATCTACTGGAAAATGTACCCATTCGTGCCTAGGAAATATCTTGAGACCCATGAATCCAAAGAAATTTTGGCTGTGTTAGTACAGTCCCATGTAAGCAGAAAACCCACTAAGGAGGGTTCCAGGATTAAGCAGTACAGAAATTCACCAGCAGCAAGTTATTTCCATCACTGTGATGGTCTGGACCACATTTGACTGTACAGTAATACTTCTTCCATGAGTTCAGTCAATCAGGTTTAGACCGATGGTGTCAAATTGAGCTCACTAACTTTAATTATTTTCTTCATTCTAATTACTCAGGTGCATCTTCCCAAAACCTGAACAAGTTTATAGAAAGGTAAGTGGCTGATGGACATAAGAAGTTGTTCCTAAATTTGGTGTCTCATTTTGAAAAAGGAATTAAAATTCTCTGTTGTGACCCCATAACCATTTTTACTGAGCTTGTCAGTCACTATCAAAACACTAAGATATCATTTCTTGAGCCAGTGAGCAAAAGAAGTGACTAATATAAGAATGACCTCCAAGCAGGATTATAAAAATGAATGCCAAATGGGTAAAACTTAGGTCTGACAGAAGTACATGAAAAGACAAAAGGATTATGTTATATTCCTGCTTTATGCATAAGAAAACATCTTTGTGCTCATGTTGGGCTTAAAATTCAGAAGTGAGGCTCTGAGCGCCCGGAATGGAAGCCTCAAGATGCCCTTGCTTTTTGAATCGAGCACAGGTCCACAGCTGTCAGGATGTCCTACAAACATGGACGTAAGTAACCCAGGTAACTCATCTGTGCCTACTGATGACAAACGCTACCACAAATGCTGGGAAAGATGCCAGGAAGACAGTGGTGTGTCTGTTCACCTGGAACCCCGGTCCACTCTTTTCAATTCTATGCATTTAAGTGGACTTTCCCTAATGGAGGAGTGGGTTGATGATTAGAGAGAAGAGGGGATTGAGAGTGGTTACTGGCTATCCTGGAATGAAAGAAAAATGTTGAAAAGTTTACCAAGGGGGCGGCCATACAAAGTATTTCTCACAGGCCCAGACTGTGTCACTGGTTACAAAGCTAGGTTTCCACGTGTCTGACACTCAGATTCCATCTGTGCCTTCTCAGCTTGTCCAGGAACCAACTGTTGGACCATCCAGCCATCGTCATATACGCCATGATTGGAAACGATGTCTGCAATGGGTGAGTTACTGAGGAAGAAGGTTTTCAAAATTCTGTGGCTCTGGGTGTCCCCCCCTTACCACCCCACTCCACACCAATTGCACTCCATCACCGTGGCCTGCCATTGAGTTGAATTTCTCTGTCTTAGGAGCAAGTCTTAGGCACACATGGAATCAACAGCACCAACCTGAGAAGCTGAAAACTCCTTTTAAAAATATCCGACCCATTAACTCTCAACTATGACCTCACAAGTGGGTGTGTCATATCACTTATGAGTTACATCACAAGAAATATGCTACTACTAACCAAGAATCTAATCCTGAGAATCATGACTGTTTAAATAAAATGAGGCAGAAGCCCAGTTACGTCATAAGAACACCTTCCTCACTCGCCAGCCGATACCTCCTCGCATGACAGAGACAGCACAGCGTCATGGCATTTGCAAAGAAACCACGTGTAACTCACAGCCAATCCTACTTATGCCCAGGGTCCATAATAAGAACGTGGTTTGACTAAACTGTTAATATCAGTAGTGACTTCAGAATGTTTAATGCCTCAGCTCCCCCACAACAGTCGGAGAGGTCTCTCAAAATCTGTGTACGAGATGCATGTGTGAATGCCATCTGTCCTGTGGTCGTGGCCAAAAAACAAAAGCAAAAGGTGAGACAGAATCTAGAGCAATTCCCCAAAGCCCCAGTAGCCACAGACGTGCTGTTTCAGAAAACAGAAAAGTAGGGCCGGCCCGGTGGCACACTGCTACAGTGCACCGCTTGAGAGCGGGGCGGCGCTCCTGCCGAGGGTTCGGATCCCACATACAGACCAGTTCCCGCTCACTGGCTGAGCTAGGTGCGGGTGCAGCACTGAGGGTTGCGATCCCGTTGCCAGTCCCGGTCCGGTACGGGCGCGACACTGAGGGTTGCGATCCGTTGCCAGACACGAAAAAAAGACAAAAAGGAAAAAAAAAAGAAAACAGAAAAGTAAGGCCAAGAGAAGTTGTGTGACTTGCTCAAGGTGATAGGATTGATTAACAGCAGAGCTAGCTTCCTACCCGGTGCTGCTAGAGGTGGCCCACCCTGCTCGCTGTCCACCCAGGGCTGTCCCATGCTTCCCCCACCGAGCTTTGCAAGGCTGTGCTACAGACGAGCTCAGTAGTGCCAGTGAGTTTGCCCTCATGGAGCTCTGTGGAACGCTGATGGTGAAGGAGATGTAGACATCGTGGGTGAAGTGAGTTCAGGGCAGGAGATGACCCAGAGATGCTGACATGCCACACACCACTGTGGCTCCCCTCAGGCTCCTTTACTGCTCTCCCCAGAATCCCAAGTCAGCCAAGGCTACATACTGGGGATCCAAGTCCCTACCTGTGGGACAAGCCACTTGGGACTCTCCAGTAAATAGCAAACACCCTCTAAGGCCTGTCATGAGCCAAGAGCTACACGGTCCTCTTTATCACCTCATCCCCACAGCAGCCCTAAGAGACAGGTATGACTGTCCCCATTTTACAGATGAGGAAATTGAGGTTCAGCAAGGTTAAGAAACTCGCTTATTCTGCTGTTGAGTAGCAAAGCTGAGAGCCAAGCCAGGTACTCCAACTAACTTTCATGCTTTCTACAGTCCACACCGGCTTTATTTGCTTTCTTTTGCCCGTTCACTTTTTTAAAGTATGTATTGAGCACTCATGATGTGCCAAGCACTGTGCCAGGCTCCAGGATACAACGGCGAAGAGGCCACAGTCCCTGACTTTAAGGAGCTCGTGGGAGGAGAAGCACTGAAGCCCCAGCCCCACCACAAAACAGAACTCACCGATGGTCAGACCAGCCAGGGCCCTTCCAGCCCCGGGTCATGTTCCCCCAGAGGGGAACAGAAAGCAAACTAGTTACACCAGGTAAAGAACACCTGCAGAAAGAGGCTCTGACTGCCAAAGCCAAAATCCCTGAAACTGTGTTTTTCAGCACAGACTGCTTACCCAGAAGCCCCTCCAAGCCAGGCCTGCTTTTACTTTACCAAAGAGCCAAAGGGCAGGCAGACATCAGCCAGAGACCCGTGCCAGCCTCTCCCTGCCGGTGATCTGGGCAGGGAAGCAGCAAGCATTTGGGTGAGAGAACAGAGCTGGCAGCGTGGGATGTCTCTGTGGTGCCCACTCTGTGATGTCCCGTGGAGGGGTTAGAAAAATAAAGACAGGTGGCGACAGCACCTCCCCATCTGCCAGAGCATCAAGGTGGAGCAGGTATCCCAAGATAAGCAAAGGGATTTCATAAAAGGCTCAGCAAGGAGTTGCGTAACGCGCTCGTCCTGGGTCGAGCTATAGGGTATTCGCTAGACCTTTTCTTTTCTTTTCTGTGATGATGCTAGCTCTTACTGGAATGATGCAGCCGTGTGCCACTTTCTCAGTTCTCCAGACTCACAAGCCTACTCGGTAACTTGTTAAATGAATGGAGGTCATCATCAGCAGATAGCTTTTGGCGTCCGGAATTCAAGAAGAAAGGTGATATGGACAGATCTAGCTTCTCGCTGTAACCCTACACAATCCGATCTAAACTAACTCAGATCCTTGGGCTTTTCCTATCACTGTCCTCAAAAGCTTCATAGCGTGAGTGACACAGAAGGAGAAAAATTCCTGGAAACAGGGCAAATGTGGGTGAGCTACAGCAGCGGAATATCTGGGTGGCAGGGTCAGCAATGGGAAAGTGAGAATGACCTTAGAGTGTCAAATCATAAAGGCCAATGACAACCGTCCCCCAACATCCCCAATACGACATCCCTGGCAACAACATTGGAATTGCTGGAAACGTGATAGAATTATACTAACACTAGTCATCGAACAGCAGCCACATAAACTGACATGGTTGCACTGTTTAGAGTGGACATAGAAATCATAAACAGTCCATTTTCATCTAATGGAGAGAGCCAGGACCACCCACCCAGGTTGTCTGTGTCGCCCTGGCCTCAATTATTGTTTTTGTGCAAAGCTGGTGCTTCAGGTCATGCCTGGGGCAGCTGAGCAGCACTGCAGTGAGAGGAAGCCAGCCGAGGCACTGACAGGTCACAGGCCCCGAGGAGCCCTGACTACTGGGAGCAGTCCATGCTGACATTCAAATGGTAGGAAACCCAGCAGGAAGAGAAGGGTTGCGACTGCTGTCGGAGGGGTTCTCTTTCCCAGGCTCCTCAGTCAGAGGCGTGGACGGCAAAGAGAATGGTAAGCAGTTTCCTGGCCAGCCAGCACATTCCAGGCCACAGCCACTTTTTAGGGCCTTTCAATGCATCTCTTTGCATGGGGTGACGTGGGCTCCGTGAGTCGCCACCCCACTCCTAGTCCGTGTCATTCAGTCCTAGTCTGAATCCCAATGATTGCAAGTGCCTGGCGTGAAACAAAGTCAGCTCTTACCTAGATGTTTCAAAAACACAAATGCCAGCTGCAAGTGATGTCACAGCACTCCATCAGGACAGGTGTCTGGGCTTTAGCTCTGTTCTGGGAAGCTGGTTATCTGCAGAGGCTGTTCACCTTCTCCCTTGGGAGGGGGCTTCTCTGTCTGGCATTCGCTAGGTGACATCTGGCTGGCATACCTGCCACGGTAACATGATCATAGCTAGCCCTGCACCCAGGGAAAAAGCCTTATTTTGCATGATCAGATACAATTCATTAGTACAAGGATGGGCTTCTGAGACACCGAGGGACAAAGCGCCTGGCCATGTGTTCCTGTCATGGGCAAGAGCATGTTTGTGGGCACCGACTTCCCTCTTATTGCTTTCCCTGGTGTGACCATCGGTCCCCAGGCTGGTTCTCACATTTCCCCTCTGTAAGCTGGGCACTCCCGATCCCCCTCCTGAGCATCTGGGCATCTGCTGTGAGCTGGCTGCGTGTGAGGGAGGGTACCAGGGCACTAGGGTAGACAGGCAGACCCAGGATGGCAGGGCAGAGCTGACACAGCTCCCAAGCACCGGGGTTGAAAAGAACTAGACACTTTGCGTTCAGCCCATTCAGCCTTCAGCAGAAATCAGACAGACCTCAGAGATATTTCCCAAACCACTGGGGCTCTTTGTCCCCAAAATACTAGTACTAAGTCCCCCAAAAAATCACCAGAGGAGAAAGAATACACAGATCAAAATGGCACTGAGAACTTGGACGGACAGAAGTCAGAAGAAGGTGACCCCCCACCAGTCCCATAAACCCTTTTGCCTTTGCCTGAACTAAGAGTTGGTTGATTTTGCTGTGCACTTTAAAGGATGTAAGAAACAATGCACATGAGAAAAGTACGAGGGAACGAAGACGGCTAGAGAATGTCCCATTAGCAACACCAGGTCTTTCGTTTTTATTTTACTTAGCAATTAGCCATTTCGATCACAGTTGCTTCATTTGTGGGGTGCCCTTTTATGAGTACAAATTATCTAAGACTCTTTATCATCAGGTTTGTCTCTCTAACCGAAAAATAACCATGGAATGGGGAGGCTGGGAGACGTTGCAGCGCCTTCTCTTATTTCACCCACATGTGCTAGGAGAGCGATGGTGCAGTGTGACTGCTCCATGCCAGCCAGCCGTGATATCAGCAGGAAAAAAAGAGGCTGGCGGGGCCGCTGCTAATAGGCAGCGTGTGCTGGTTTCACCAGTGACAGGGGATGGGGCACAGGCACTCAGCTCGCCTTTCATTTCGCCCCTGCTGTCACACCCCACACACACAGTGAATGTGAAACCCGGTCATGCTGGGTGGGTCCTCTTGGTCTGAGTAAACCCACAAGGCAGCTTAAATCCCCTTTGCAAGCTGGGATTCTTCTAGCACTGTTTCTGCACATGTGCAAATCCAGCCAAAACCCCTGCCCCCCTGCTGCCCCTAATAGGTAGGCAACCTAATCTCAAATCCTTGTGTGTGCTTTCTATGCAAGCTAGGGAGATTTTTATTCAAACAGTAGTACAATTTTTTCATGGCAACAAAAAAAAACGTGAACTTAGTATGCACTTCTACATGCTGAAGTTTTGTGAATCTGACATGCTTTTCCCCGCTTTGGAAAACCCAAGCAACCAACCGCAGCTAACACCCCACTGGCTATTCCAAAACGCCAGCCTTGCTCTGCCTTCTCACTTTCTGGAGAGCCCCCAATTTGGGGGGTGATTTTATTTGACCAAGTGAAATAGGTGGAGGGGGAATGACATAAAATTACAATGTCTTTTGGGCCGGCCCGGTGGCGCACTGCTACAGTGTGCCGCTTGGGAAGCGCAGCGGTGCTCCCGCCAAGGGTTCGGATCCCACATACAGACCGGCCGCTCACTGGCTGAGTGAGGTGCGGGAGCAACACCGAGGGTTGCGATCCCGTTGCCGGTCCCGGTACGGTATGGGTGCAACACTGAGGGTTGCGATCCGTTGCCGGCCACAAAAAAAGACAAAAAGGAAAAAAAAAATTACAATGTCTTTTGCCCTTCCCATTAAAGCTTAGGTAGAGTCCAGTTTTTTCCCCTAACTTTAGAAAGGAGAATAAAAATGTTATGGGAATATGTAACATTTTTATTTCTCTGATGACAAAATAACATTTATTGTGAAAAGATCGAATAATACAGGACGTAGAAAGTGAAATTTCCAAGTAAAATTTCCTGCTCCAAGCATGAGAGTTTGATGTACTTTCACCCAAATTTTTCCTATGCAAATTCTAACTTACAGAGTTCTTAATATTCATTGAAATGAGATAATACTATGCATACTACTCTGTAATGTGTCCTTTGTAATCAACAATACTTTTCAGCTATCTTTCCATGTTAATGTATGCAGATTACTTCATGTTTTTAAATTTTATTTTATTGAGATGAAATTCACACATTATTAAAATTAACCATTCTAAAGTGAACAACTTACAATGTTGTGGAACCACATACTTTATCTGTTTACTTCAGTCTTTTTATTTTTTTTATTTTTATTTTTTTTTTTGTCTTTTTCCGTGTCCGGCAACGGATTGCAACCCTCAGTGTTGCCCCCGTACCGGACCGGGACCGGCAACGGGATCGCAACCCTCGGTGTTGCACCCGCGCCTCGCTCAGCCAGTGAGCGGGAACCGGTCTGTATGTGGGATCCGAACCCTCGGCGGGAGCACCACCGCGCTTCCCAAGCGGTGCACTACCACAGTGCGCCACCGGGCCGGCCCCACTACTTCATTCTTTTTAACCGCAGTGTAGAGCTCTTTTGCACAGATGTACCATAATTTATGTATCTAGACTTTTTAGCTTTTTTCCAATTTTATACTCTTCCAGGTAATGTTGCAATACTTGTATATACATTTTTGCACGTTTGTGGAAATGTTATTATAGGATAACTTCCTAAAAGTGAAATGAATTTTCTAAATTCATTTTTTTATTGAAATGTATTTATTATGCATATTCGTGGGGCCCAGAGTTGAATATTAATACATGTATACAATGTGTGATGGTCAAATCAGGGTAATTGGCGTATTCATCATTACAAATGTTAATCATTTCTTTGTGATGAGGATATTCAGTCTCCCCCCTTCTAACCATGTGATAGCATGCAGCAAATGATTGCTAATTATACATGCCTAGCTCGACTGCACACATAGAACTTACTTTTCCTAACTAGCTGTCTTGTGTTCATTAATCAGCCTCTCATTATCTCCCCGCCCCTTCACCTTTCAGCCTCTAGTATCCACAGTTCTACTGTCACCTTTTGAAAGTTCAACTTATTGTTTGCTTGCTTGTCTCTTTCTTTGTTTCTTTCTTAAAAGTGATATTTCAACGTTAAAAGTTAAACCAACCTCCAATTTTGATACATTTTGAAAAAATGTATCAAAAAGACAGTGCCAATGTTCGTATAAGAGCTCCCTGAAAAGTCAGAGCAGTGGATATCCCTCGGGCCTCTTTCTGTCCCCTCTTCCCATATCACTTGTGCCCTGGGTCCAGCCTCTGAGTGATGGACTTCCTTTATCTGGTTTGGAATCTATATTAAGTTCCCTGGGGCTGCCACAGCAAAGTACCACAAACTGGGTGGCTTGAAACAACAGAAATTCAGAAGCCCAAAATCAAGGTGTCAGCAGGGCCAAAGTCCCTCTGAAAGCTTTAAGGAAAAATCCTTCCTCTTCTCTTTCAGCATCTGGCAACTCCCAGCAGTGCTCGGCATTGCTGGGCTCTGCAGCGGGACCGCATCTCTGCCCCGCTCTTCACGAGGCCCCCTGCCTGCATGCATCTGGGTGTCCTCTCCTCTTCTTATAAAGACACTAGTCATCAGATTTAAGGCCCACCCTAATCCAACATGACCTCGCTTTAACTGAGCTAATTACATCTACAGAGACCCTATTTTCAAATAATGTCACCTTCTGTGGGACACTTTTTAACCCAGTACAGAATCATTAGGTAAATTTGGAATTTTAAGGACTTCTAAACTGAAAGCAGCTCTATACCGTTATTCCATTTAGGTTGACAACAGGCAGTTTAGAGCCTACAGAGTAGATGAAAACCTTAGAGAATTCTGTATTCTACTCCCAGATTAATGCGGCTCATCCTAATTCAAATTTGTTATGTTCCTGACAGTGTGTACAAAAGTCAGCTGTGCAAAAAATGAACGATCATAGACACTTATTAAAGCCAAAAATGTTCTACTTTCCCTATTTATGCCTTGCCTTTAAATATAACTTTAAATGAATAAATAAATAAATAGAACTTGAATGTAACTTTCCATGATGTATTCCTGATATTTTGTACATTCTTTATTTCTGCTCTTTTCCAAACCAAATGAAAATAAGTCAATCAGCTGACATGCAACAAATGTCCATTTGAGGCTAAAGATATGCTGCTTTCAATTCCCTTATAACTGACATCTTTGTCTTAAATCTTTTGATTTTAGGCCTATGCTTCTTATAACTACTTTCAGCACTTTCTTTTTCTGTTTTACTTTTATGAAATCAAAGAGAAAAATATCCTTCATAGAGCACAAGCACTACTATATAGAGAAAGACAGCAACGCAAAACGAGCTGTTGGTTGGCAAATGCTCTTACGGGGGTAGAGCCTGGCAAAGCGGCCCCGTGGGAAATGCATGAAAGTCGAAACTCGGTGTGGAAGCTAAAGGATAAAAAGCAAGACATAGTGTGCACACGTACTGCAACTGCATCTCTCAGTGACAGCTGTTTCCCTAACTGTGATAAGTGTGAAAAGTTTTAGGTTTTTTAAATTTATTTTTATTAGCATATTCATTGTTACAAATCGTACTTATTCTTCGTGTCCCTTATCCAATCTCTCCCTGCCCGTCCCTCCATTCCCCGTCCCCTCCCCCTCTAATAACCATAGATTTGTCCTCTTCATCTGATAGATTATCTGTTCCTCTGTTGTGTTGTTGCCTAGACGATCTGTCCAGCACTGAAACAGGTGTGATCAAGTCTTCCCGTTATAGTAAATCAGATGCTGCTTCTATTACTCAGGAGTGTGCTTTGTGGAGAGAGAGGACCTCTTCTTTCTTTGGTTTTTTGGTCTCCGCTGGTGCCTCTCCTCGTGTCAATGCAGTTGAGAGTCTGGCGTGCCATCTGCATGATGGCTGTGACTGCTGCTGTAGAGTCTAGCTGCTTTTGTGGCAGCCATGGCAACTGTGGTGGCTGTGGTAGGCTACCTGTGTGGAAATAGTATTTCGAGTGTGCTCTTTACCTGGTTTTCACTGGGTTCAGCTTCCCCCAGCTCCATGCCTCAGGACCATAAGAGTGAAAAGTTTTAAAGACCAATTTACAGATCTCAAAATATCAAATAAATTATAAGCTAGACACTTTTCATTCCATTAATTATAAGTCGGGATAGGTGAGATTATGCTATAGGAACAAACAGCCCTAAAATCCTGGCAGTGTAAAGCAGCAAACGTTTCTCACTCACGCTACGTGTCCAGCAAGGATCACCCTGGGACTCTGTTCCTGGACTCAGATTGGTGAAATAGCTATACAGAACATCGCCCATACCCATGACAGAGAAAAAGCGCATCCCAGAGGCCCTCACGCCACCAAACATGACACTTGTCACCTCTGCTCACAACTCCTTGGCCAGAACCAGTCACGTGGTCCACCCCACAACAAGGGAGTTGGGAAGTACGATTTCACCATGTGCCAGAAAGGTGGAAAGCCAGGAATATTTTGCAAATAGCTCCAATAACCACCATATTGTGCTCGCGTGCACACGTGTGCGTGTGTGTTTGTTGCATTTTGTGCTCACATGCATCTATCCTTATAATCAACTAAGATATTTTCTGTTCCTTCCACCAACAGGAATAGTGACCCAGTCCCAAAAATGACCACTCCTGAGAAATTGTACTCCAACGTCATGCAGACTCTGAAGCATCTGAATTCCCACCTGCCCAAGGGCAGCCACGTTATTTTTTATGGCTTACCAGATGGAACCTTTCTCTGGGATCATTTGCACAGCAGATATCATCCTCTCGGTATCAGTTTGAAGATATTTTTACTCTTTAACAACATTAACGTATATGTAGTTCAACCCATGCAGGAATACGCTTAAAATACCATCAAAGAACATGGGTCAGAGCTGATGAAGGGAAGAGTCCCCAGGGGCAGTATTTAAAGGTCATTATCCAAGGGTGGGCAGAATCAGATCCAAAGCCAGAAAGGGCAGCAGTATTTAATGAAGAATTAGGACAAATTGAAATGCAAGAGTTTAAATCAGGAAACTCCCTTAACAGAAGGAGAAATGTAGAGTGAACAGAGGAAGCCCAAGCAGGAGACAGAATACCCTGAGTGAGGGTGGGGAATGCCTCCGAGCGGCCAGTTAGAATTCAGTAAAACTCTTTCGTCCAGCCTGTGAGCTCCCTGCAGCTCCACTCTCTTGGGGTCCCTGGCTCTGAAAGGTTTTAAATGTCCCACAGAAACTTCTAATGGCATCTGTAACATTCCAGATGCCGTACAAACAACGTAAAAGTAGTAGTGATTTGCATGTGGAAGGACTGCCATGCTGATCCTTAAAACAACCCTGTGAGAGAGATGTTTTCATTAACCATTTCCATTTTATAAATGAAAAAACTAAGGCTCAGAGAGGTTAGGTAGCTTGCCAAATGCTGCATAGCTCATTGTGTATGTCAGCGGGGGGTAGCAGGGTTCTGCTTTCTGCATTTTGGGGGAGAATGTCCTTTCAAAATCTAAGTGCCCACTTGTGCCAGGCTCTGTTCTAGGAACTGGGTAACCAGCAGTGAACGCAATGGTCCTAATTCCTGCCCACATTGGGCTTATATTCCAGTGGGAGAAAGACTCCAGAAGTTGGTCAGAGGGTGATAAGTGCCACAGGAGGAAAATTAAGCAGGAAAGAGGAAGAGGGAGAGCTGGCCTCAGTCCTCTCTGCTGCACCTACTGAGAGAGGCCTGGGCCCCTCCCCTGAACCCTGTATTGACAGCACCTGTGCCAGTCTACATGCCGAAGGGGCTGCCCCTGCCCTGGGATTACCATACCACCTCCTGAGACCAACCTAAGCTGAATGTGCTGGAGGTCCCAGCACTTTCTCATGAGCAATTCAAAGGGGCAGACTCATTGCTTGGTGCCCTCTTAGAGGGGGGCGTGGAGAGCAAGACTTCATAGCTGAGGTCGTCGAGCTTTCTCTTGCACATAGAACCTTGTGTGCAGCTTTTCAATCTCCCTTGTCCTCCTTCTGCTCTCCCCATTAAGCCAGCTCCCTGCTTCTGCCTCAGGAAATGTCACCCCTCCCCACATGAGAAAAGAGTAGGGGTCCTTTAACTAGCTCTCAAAGGGCTCTGGTCTCTTCAGGGTGCATGATGGTAGATACCCACATTCCAGGCTCCCCCACAAGGAGGAGGAAGTCATTTCACTCTTGAGTTACTAAAGGTGTATCACAAATACTATTATCCAAGCAAAACACTGTCCAGCCTCGCCTAAGGAAAGCATATTCTTCCTGTTCACACACCTGTGACCGTGCCCCTTAGAAATAGTAATGTGATCGCACACAGGAGAACTTCACTCCATCTGGAATGCCTCGCATGCATAAAAGTCACCACTTGGGCTAAGAAGATTCTTTGAACCATTTGATATGAACATTGTGGTCTCCAGCAGATTCTTGCTAAGTTTCTCCCGTGTTTGGAAATACCTGGGGCGGGGGAAGTGTGCTCCCAATTTACTCCACCACACCAGCAGGGACTTCAGGTTTTCTGATATCAAATCCCATTCTCTTTCCATGAACCCTGATTAGACCGCCTCCATAGTTTCTTCCAGACGTGCTACACAATTCACTTGCTTTAGCCACAGTATGTGGTAATGACTCCAGGCAATTTGGAAAAAAGTGAGGGAAGTAAAAAAAAGTGATTGGGGGACCCATTATCTCTAAGCCAGTGGTTCTCAGCCAGCAGGTAGGGATATCCCCACTTGTTTTCACCTCTGGGGGTAGAAAGGGGGTGCTACTAGCAGCTAGTGGGTAGAGGCCAGGGGTGTTGCTAAACATCCCACAATACTCAGGACAGCCCCCCACAACCTAGAATGTCAGGAGTGCCAGGGCCGAGAAGCTCTGCCTAGGGCTTGGCCTTGTCTTCCTCTGGTGGCCTCTCTCTGGCCACTAATCATGCACTGGCATTTCACAGCACAAGGGCAAGAGAAGGAAGAAGTGGAGAAGGCTTCTAGATAAACAACTCTAGCTTTGAAAAAAAAAAAATCCAGTTAGGAGAAAGTTGAAACCATCTAAGATTTGGGGGGTCTTTTGGGTTTGTTTGTTTTTTGGTTTGGGGTTTTTTTGGGGTTTTTTTGGCAGCTGGCTGGTATGAGGATCCAAACCCTTGACCCTGGTGTTTATACACCGCACTCTAATGAACTGAGCTAACCAGCCAGCCCATTTGTTTAATGTTTTTAAGTAATTATTCACATCCCGAATTATCCCTGCTGCCTGGTTGCCATGGGAAATAAATTATATGTTACTCAACGAAGCATCAGGGTCCTTGCTAGCGAAGCTGGGGAAGCAGGTGGGATTTGCCAGCTTCCCTGTTCCTCCCTTGGCAGGGTTCATAACTCACCTAAGGTGAGGGGCTTGCAGAGGGGGCTGCCACCCTCACGCTGCCTTCCTTCTACTGCTCCCGCCCCAGACCTGACCTCTGGATCTTCATCCCCACTGGACACGAACCAGCCATGCAGCCAGGGTAGGGCGGGCCCAGCCTCCAGGGTATGGGTGCGCCGCCTTGGTTAGCGTAGAACTCGTGGTATTCAGTGGCCAGACACCGAAGGGTGTTCCCAGGGCACTGTACTAGGAAGCAAAAAAAAGGGGATGGGCATCCATTTATTTCTGTTTGGGACTAGAAGCATGGCGATGATCACCTCTGGACTTGATTTAGCCAACTTTAAGGATTAGGAAAGCTCAGGGAGCAGAGGGCAGAGCAGCACCCCTGGTGGGACTGCCTCCTGGTGGGACCGGCTGGAGCTCAGCCTGACCATTCAGTAAAGAAAAGGCCAAATGCCACAGCATCCAGGGTAGGGAGTGGAGACCCAGGGCAGGAACAGGCCCGGCTCCTCCTGTGGGGGAGGAGGGGTTGACACCCCAGCACCTGTCCCCGTCAGCCACTGCTGCCAAGGCTAGGGGAACCCCACATTCCCCACCAGCAATTGAGATTTCTGCTGAGAGTTCATTGCCTGTGTGCGGACTTAGCAGGCAGCTGGTCTCACACCTTAGGTTCTGTCGGTGTAGATATTTTGAGAAAAGTCAAGTCTGACCAAGGCTGAGTCCTCTCCTCGTGGTCTGTGAGGAAGGTGTCCTGAGAGTTATCAGAGGGTCAGATGTGGCTGTGAAGGCAGAGGTTGTGCCTACAAATAAGTCTGCACGCGGGCCTTCCGAGAAGGGCCCCTGCCACAAACAGCCCCTTCATTTTGCCTCAGTTACTCAAACTTGAAACCAAAGGCCTTTTTCTTTAAATACCTTGTAATTTATGTTTTATTATTGTTTTTTCCCCATCTGGATTTACATGGTTTCAATACATTCAGATGGTATTTCATGAAGGTGTAACTGACTGATCTTTTTTGGCACTAAGCATTTATGGTCCCTAAGATTTCAGTTATGCTCCAGCATTAAATAAATACCAAAGACCCTGCCCTAAAGAACTTATATTTACTGAGACACAAACTGCTACTCTAGACAGCTGGGGACAAACATGCCCTTTAATCTTCAGAGGAGGCACATGACATCCACTGGTCGGCCACTGGCTCCCACCACACATGCATGCACACACACGCATGCACGCACGCACACGCATGCGCACACGCATGCACACGCATGCACACACACATGCATGCACGCACGCACACACCACAGCTCTTCAGCCCGTGACAATTCCTGGCCGCTGCGGGAAAGCCCCCCTGCCCCTGCTCCTGGGCATCCCTGATCAGCTCTCTTAACCAGATCAACTTTCTGACCAGGAAGTCACAGATGCAACCTCTTTACATGTACAACATGTACGTGGGATCAGTCTTTATACCAGGGCTCATCAATGCGCAATTACACGAAAGCAATGGGGACAGGAGGCAATGCCTACGAAGAAAGAGTAAGTGGCCAGCTGACAGTGCCAATAAGGAGAGACACATAAGCAAAGCATTTCCTCTTCTCTTTCTGCAAACCGTAAGCTCCTCATAAGCACTTCCTGCCAGACTTGCACGTGACCAGCCCCAGAGCCACCCCACCCTCTAACAGACAGAAATACCACAGAGAGAGCGAAACCCCCTCATTAACCTTCCCAGCCATCTTCTGACTGCACCTAGTGTGCCCTCATCCTGTTCAGCAGACCTGGCTACTCACACTGAGGATTTTCTTGTTATCAACTGGGTCCAATTGGAGGTGATGCCAGAACGGCAGGGAGATAGAGAGAAAAGGGAGAGGGTTTAAAGCTGGTCAGGATGAAGACACACCTCGTGGTCTCATCCCGAGGTGTGGGAGGACCTCAGCAGCAGGACAGCAGGAAGTGGGGGGTACGGCAGGAGGGAACGAGGCTGGGACTGGGCTTAACCCCTGAGGAGGAGCCCGCAGTTAAGTTCCCGGTACCCAACAGCAAGACAAACTCCAGTCCCTCTGGATATCATAGCAATCCAGGCTTGAAGGTGGGGAAGGGAGGGTACGAGAATGTCACTCACGGTCAAGCATGAGGTGCCACCTCCTTCCATGTTGAAGAGACCTCAGACACAGAGCAGGGTAGAGAGAGAGGCCACCCCTCAAGGTGAGAGGACACATCAGGGCCAAACAGAGTGTCAGGGTCTCAGCCAAGCTACCTAAGTGTCATTATGAGGCCATAGTCCCAACAGAAAAACCAGGTGGCCACTAGGCACCCACGCAAAGGCCCTCACAGAGGGTAGGAAGGGGGGAGGTGACAGCTCAGTGACAGACCCCCCAGGGAAGAGAGCCATATCACTGGGCACACAGGCATCCCAGGATGGGGAGTGGAGGCTGAAGGTGTCAGTCACGCAGCTGGGCTGGGCTGGGACACGGAGGGACATTTACAGGAAGGTGCAAATTACAAAAAGCCAAAACAACAAATAAATAAATAGAGGGAAAGAAGTCTCCGTGGGTAAAGCAGGGATTGGGGGACAGATGGGAGCTCAGGGCTCTGTGTTGGGCCCTAAAAATGAAGTCCATGCAGTAGGGAGACCAGGTGGGTCACTGTGACTTTTACAGCCATAATAAGCCTGTGGCTTTCCAGTCCTGGGATTCATTCACCCACAGAGAGAGAATATATTTTCCCCTGTGCCAAGAAAATTGAATCATTGTTCAGTCCAACCAGGCAGAGGTACAAGTGAAGGACAGGACTGTGTCCCACCACCCTCGACCTCTCTCTTGGCTCTGAGATAGGTCCTGTTAGCGTCCTTTATTTTTCCAAGCGTGTGAGAAGCGCTCATGGATACGGCATCAGTCACTCGCCCTGAGATTTGGGGGCCTGGATTTTGTGTGTCAGCACAGAATGAAAGCTGAATTGCCTCTGGAGATGGATAAGTACGAGGCGGGGGCCATGGGAGTTGGAGAGAAAAGAAATAATCGTCACTCACAGATTCTGGGTGGGCAGCGACTCCGGGCAGGGCTCTGGGGGAAGCCCCGCATGGCGTCTGCCCTTCAGTCTTAGCTACCCCTTAACCTGCATCAGAAAATAAGTGTGGGCATGCCTGCTGATGAGGGCGACCCTTACCCCAGTGCCATGAAGGGACACAGGGCGCTGGCCTCCCCGTCCCATGGGCCGTGCAAGCATTTTTGGAGGCCTTTAGTTCACCAAACTGCAGGGCACTGCATGGTCAGAGCTTCAGACGCCCAGAATATCCTGCCGGGTCCTCAGCAGGGGAGAACTGGGTCAGGCCCGAGTGTTTCATAAACTCACTGAAAGTTGGATTCGATCTTCTACTGCCTGGAATGCGCCTCTTCCCCCTCGGGAAGCTGGCATTTCATACCACTGCCAGGAGAAAGCTGCCGCCCTGCAAGGGCTTCGTTCACGGCATGCTGGCCCCCATGGAGCCCCAGGATGCTCGAATCTATTTTCGCTGGAGTCCAGATGAGGCCAGCCCCTCCAGCCCTGTGTAGCCCATGCCAAGAGCTCTACAGGGGAGGGAACTCCGTGGGCCCCTGCCCCTGCCCCCAGCTCTGGGCCTGAATCAGGAGGGCTCAGAAAGAGGCAAGCACAGGGCTCCTCGAGAGCAGTGCTGATGGAGAGATCAGGGCCAGTCCCCGGGAGGGCCAGCTTTCTGCAGGGGAGGCGGGTCGCCCACAGGTGGCTCAAAGTGTGGCTGTATCTGTGTGCACACAACATCCCAGGCCTCTCTGTTTTCCAGGCCAGCTAAATAGAGACGTGACCTACGCGCAGCTGTACTCCTTCCTGAGCTGCCTCCAGGTGAGCGCCCCTGCCTGCTCCGAGGCCACATTCCCCACCTGTCGCTGCTCCTCTTTAACCAAAGCCGTGATTTCCTGTCTCAGGTCAGCCCCTGCCATGGCTGGATGTCTTCCAACAAGACGCTCCGGACTCTCACTTCAGAGGTGGGACTGTCGCAGGCCTTCTGATGCCATCTTGGTCATTCTCTCCCTGTGTTTGCTGCAGTGTTTTCACTGGGATGGGCTGTGGCTGGGTCTCTAAGCTCGTGAATAACAGAATCAAAGTGCTGGGGGGTTTGAGAGGCCTGGAGAACTTGCTGTGACCTGTCTGCCTCTGCCTCTCTCTGGGTCTGTCCCGCTTACCGGGTCTCTCAGTCACTGTCTCTCTCGTGTGTGCACGTGTGTACACACACACACACACACACACACACACACACACAGCTTTTAAAGCTGTTCCCAGGCATAGCGGTAGAGGTGGAGAGATCGGAGCGAGGTTAGCCCTACGTGTGGCTGGAGCTCTCCCCAAGTAAGTACGTATGTCCCCGCTTCTCTGCGGGAATCCATTGCTCAAGCAAAATGACAGGCGTCTTCCACAGATAGCGAATGGTCTCTTGTAAATGATTTCCTGGATTTTTTTTTTAACAAAAGAAATATATTTCAATATTTAAAAACTTGAAGAACACAAAAAAGCACAAAGAACAGTAACAAAAATCACCCAAAATTCCACCGCCCGAAGTTAATACGTGTGTATGTCTCTCCATGATCCCTTCCAAGGACAGGTATTTTGGGGTTTTGCCTGCATGGTACGAGAATACACTCGATCTTCTATGCCTTCTGATGTGCATAAATTGTTTCTCCACATCATAATATTGTGCCCATTTTAAAGTATACACATGTGAATGTACCGTGATTCATTTCATCCCTTGGGATTGGACATACAGGTTGTTTTCAGTTTTTCACTCCAATAAATAGCATCGGGATGAGTAATTGTGTATATAAAAATGTACGTCTTTGTGGACATCCGTATTTCCTTAAGACAAATTTCTAGAAAAATTGTTAGGCCAGAGGGTATATCCATGTTTAAGGATTTGATGCACAATGCCAGGTTGCTCTCCAGAAAGGGTAAACTAGCCCACGTTCTCATTCACCTCCCCATGACAGCGTGCGACGTTGTCCCGGTCATCATGCTTCTTCATCTCATCTTTGCCGATCCCATGGGGGGAAGAGGTATCTATTGCTTTAATTTGCACAGACCTGATTCCTAATGCCTGTTAACATTTTTCATATGTTCACGGCTATTTGCACATGGATAGAACGTGATGTGCAGAGCAGCTGGCCTGGAGAAAGGGACGCGGAGGGTGGTGGGGAGGTGGGTTCACCTGCTCTGCCTGAATTGTCTCACTAAAGTCAAAGTCTAGTTTTCATGGAATTCTCCCTGTTTCCCTCGTATTTAGAGAGCAGAACAACTCTCCAATACACTGAAAAAAATTGCAACCAGCAAGAAATTTATGAACTTCGATCTTTTCTACATGGATTTTGCCTTTCAAGAAAGTAAGTGGCTTGGTTTCATAGAGACCAGAGCAGCAGCTAGTTCAGAGCCTGCCCGGGCAGGGTGCTGACAGCCTGACACCCTGACAGGGTGGCTCCTGCACATTCTCACGCACTCTTAGCTCTCAGTATTTAAAAAAGATAAAGTGTGAGACTCTTTCTTTTTTTGTTTTTCTATTTTATTTTATTTTGTCGATGTACAATGCGGTTGATTATTGTGGCCAATTACCGAAACCTCCCTCCCTCCTCCCTCTCCCCCCTCCCTCCCAACAATGTCCTTTCTGTTTGCTTGTTGTATCAATTTCAAGGAATTGCAACTGTTGTGTCTTCTTCTTCCCCCCCCCCACCGTGTGTGTGTATTTATTTATTTTTAGCTCCCACAGATAAGTGAGAACATGTGATATTTCTCTTTCTNCACCGTGTGTGTGTATTTATTTATTTTTAGCTCCCACAAATAAGTGAGAACATGTGATATTTCTCTTTCT